AACGCTGCAGAGCTGCTTCTGTGTGGGCAACAAGGGCGGCGTCATCAGCATAAAGCAGCTCCCGGACAAGATGGTTTAAGGTCTTAGTGTGGGCCTTCAGTCGCCTTAGATTGAATAGACTTCCATCAGTACGGTATCGAATGTAGATACCGTCCTGATCATTGAGGTCTGCTGTGGCCCTTTGGAGCATCATGCTAAAGAAGACGGTGAATAGGGTAGGAGCGAGAACGCAGCCTTGTTTCACACCATTCTTAATTAAAAAGGGCTCAGAAAGTGCATTGCCATATCTGACTTGGCCATGCTGATCCTCATGGAGTGAGATAATCATTTTGAGGAATTTAGGGGGACAACTAAACGTTCCAAAATCTGCCACAGACCTTTTCTGCTCACAGTGTCAAAAGCCTTGGTGAGGTCGACAAAGGTTACATAGAGACCTTTGTTCTGTTCCCTACACTTCTCTTGCAGTTGTCTGAGGACAAATCCCATGTCTGTGGGGCTCCTGTTGGCTCTGAAACCACACTGACTTTCAGGAAGGATACCTTCTGCTATAGTGGGTATTAGTCTGTTCAAGAGTATTCTTGCCAGGATTTTGCCAGCAATGGAGAGCAGAGTAATACCACGATAGTTTGAGCAGTCAGATTTAATTCCTTTCTTCTTATACAAGGTGATGATGACTGCATCACGAAGGTCAGATGGTAGTTCGCCGAGTTCCCAACAGCGCACCACGAACTCATGGAATTTGGTGTGGAGTGCAGGGCCCCCATGTTTCCAGATTTCAGGTGGAATTCCATCAATCCCAGCTGCCTTGCCGATTTTCACCTGCTGTATGGCCTTGAGGGTTTCTCCTAAAGTGGGGGCAGTATCCAATTCATACTTTACTGGTTGTTGTGTGATGGACTGAATTGCTGAGTCTTGGACTGTGCGGTTGGTACTGAATAGAGTCTGAAAGTGTTCAGACCATCGATTCAGAATGGAGGTTTTATCTGTCAGAAGTGTTTGACCATCAGCGCTGAGTAGAGGGCTTTGTACCTGGTATGTAGGCCCGTATGCTGTTTTCAAGGCCTCATAGAAACCTCTGTGATCACCTGTATCTGCGCATAATTGAGTTTTTTCAGCTAGATCAATCCACCATTTGTTCTGGATGTCACGGAGTTTCTGTTGGAGTTTGCTGCACGCAAGACGAAAGGCTGTTTTTCTTGCGTGACAGGATGGCAGTGCAAGGTGTGCTTGGTGGGCGGTTCTCTTCTTCCTCAACAAGTCTTGGATTTCTTGGTTGTTTTCGTCAAACCAATCCTTGTTCTTCTTGAGGGAGAACCCTAAGGATTCTTCGGAGGATTGCAGGATGCTGTTTTTAATATGATGCCAGATTGTTTCAGGAGAGGAATCTGCAGAAACTGTGGGAATGTTATCGAGCTTAGTTTGAAGGTTTGCCTGGAAACTGTCTCTTACTGTGGCTGATTGGAGATTGTTAACTTGGAGTTTTCTCCTTGGGATGCTGCCCCTTTTTGGTTTGATTTTGATCTTGAAATTGAGTTTACAGCGCACCAGCCGATGGTCTGTTTGGCATTCTGCGCTGGGCATCACGCGGGTATGGTGGACATCGCGGACATCTCTCCGTCGCACCAGGACATAATCGATGAGGTGCCAATGCTTAGAACGGGGGTGCATCCAGGTTGTCTTCAGACTATCTTTCTGCTGAAAGATAGTATTAGTGATGGTGAGTTGTTGCTCTGCACAGAATTCTAGCAGAAGTCGACCATTATCATTGCAGTTTCCAACACCATGCTTGCCTAATACTCCTTTCCAAACTTCAAAATTCTTGCCTACTCTGGCGTTGAAATCACCAAGGATAACGATCTTATCGTCTGCAGGGACCTTTTGGGTAAGGAGGCGCAGGTCAGTGTAAAATTTATCTTTTTCAGCAGGGTCAGCTTGGAGAGTTGGGGCATATATACTAAAGATGACAACATGTTGCTTGTTGTTTAGTGGAAGGCGTAGGGAGATAATGCGGTCAGAGTGACCTGTCGGCAGATTTTCGAGTTTAGGAACAATAGAGTTTTTGATCATGAAGCCGACTCCTGAGAGGTGTTTTTCAGTTCTGGGCTTACCTGACCAAAAGAGTGTGTAACCGGCACCATGTTCTCTGCGGCTGCCTTCTTCATGAAGGCGAACTTCACTGAGAGCGGCAATGTCGATGTTGAGACGAGCCAGCTCATGGGCAATTAGGGCAGACCGACGCTCAGGACGTCCGCTATCTGCAGAATCGAGCATGGTTCTGATGTTCCAACATGTTAGAGTTAATTTAGGTACACCTTTGGAGGCAGGTGCATGCCTTTGACTTTTCTTTGTGCGACCGCATTGGAGGAAGATGCCCGTTGGTCTGCGGTTAACCAACCGGGTGAAAGTGGAGATGAGCTTTGTTTAGGCCACCTTTTCTAGGCCCCTCTCCGAGTGGAGCAAGCAGTGCTGTCCTTGGAAAGGCTGCTTGGTCGTTCAGGGTGCTGCCTCAAGAGACTCATCTCCGGTCAGTCTCAAATGACCAATATCCTGAACCGCCTGCATGCAGGGTTGAGTCTGCGGCTCCCAGTGCATCTTTCACCTGCCGTTTCGACCCTCGCCCGTCGCTACAGGACTTTTTGCATGTGGGTAAAGCCTTCAAGCCTGCGCAATGGATTTTTTAGGTGAGATGCAGTATGCGCGGAACTGAACCCACCCTTTAATCCTGAGGTTCATCTGCCAGGGCCGAGCGAGCTTGGACGGTGGCAGTGAGGTCCTCAGGATGTAGGTTTGATTAGAGTGACCTTCTCTTAGATGGATGGCCTTACAGGGCTAAGAGAGCTCCATCTGCCCGGGTTTGGGATTAGAGTTGACCTTCTCCTAGGATGACTGCCAGAAGGCTAATGAGCTCATCCTGCCCACAGATTTATTGTATCCGACCCTGTAGTTTTGACCTGTCTGGCATGGGCGACCCTACCGAAGGCATGTACCATCGCCAGCATAGCTCGCAACCACATAGGGGTATACAGGTTGCATTCTTACTATTAAAAATGATTAGGCTAAGTCTTACACTACCTAGGTTTCTGCCATCTGTCTATATTCAATCCCAGGGAAGCACCCAGGAACAGCCCTTTGTCCTGACCAACCTTACAGGATGTAACAGATAAATCCAGGACATACCAAACCTGGGCAGTAGCCACGGGTGAACCAAAAACAAACAAACGAGCGAAACTGTTCTGGCCACCGTACCCATCTAGGGCTCGAGGCCCTCTCTAGGCCCCAGTCCGACCAAGAACTCCAAGCCCCAGAGGAAACTATTAACCACTCTGATCTTGTCCTCCCCCCACCGTGTTTCCTCATATCTTCCCACGCACTACTTACCTGACCACCCTCCAGTCCGAGGACCCCCACAGCCTGCCTGGTACCCCACCCCCCTCCCCAAACCAGACCGGCAAACCTCTGTGTATTCCGAGGCTTCAATTCTCCTCTCTCTCCTTTCTCACGAGGGCACAAGGTCACGCCGGCGAAGCTCCCTCTATCCTTTCCCGCTGGGGGGGGAGGGGACCGGGGGCGGCCCCGCGCGGGACCCCGGGGCGGCCCCGCGCGGGACCCCGGGGCGGCCCCGAGGCCGCGAGAACCGCGGGGGCAGCCCCCGAGGCCGCGCGAGAACCGCGGGGGCAGCCCCCGAGGCCGCGCGAGAACCGCGGGGGCAGCCCCCGAGGCCGCGCGAGAACCGCGGGGGCAGCCCCCGAGGCCGCGCGAGAACCCGCCGCCAGGGCATACCAGGACTCAAAACAACATCCTGGTGCCCAATGGCCTAAAGCTAAAAAATGAGCACAGCTGGGCAGCAGCTGCCAAACAGCCTTGGTGCCTACAGGAACTGCCCAGAGATGAAAGGAAATACCCCAGGACAATAATTTCTTGTATGTTTGGTATTTGTGTCTTTTTAGCAAGGGCTGCTCTGCCAAGTTATTGAATGCACTGACACCAGCGCAGATGGGCAGGGAGTGGGGTCTGGGGAAGCCTTATCTCCAAAATGCTCCACTGTCCCACGCAGCCTTGGGGATCTTACTATTCAGACACTGAAATTCTCATATCTGAAGCCAAGCAAGCAGGACAGCTCACTGAGGCTACCAGAACAAGACCCAGCGGCCAAGGGTTGATCACACAAGGGGTATGGCAGGGCATCAGGGACTCTGTCTTTTTAGCAAGGGCTGGCCAGCCAAGTTAATGAACGCACTAGCTCAGGGCAGGGGGCAGGGCTGGGGATGCCCAGGGCAGGTGGATGTGAGAGAGCCGGTGTTGGTCACCAGGCACAGAGCACACGGGCACCACCCACTGCTGACAAATCTCTCCGTGTCACAAACCAAACAGTGCTGGGGCTCCCGGGGTCCCCTCCCCACCACAGCTACCTGGGCAGCACTTGAGGGGTCTGGGCAATGCCCCAGCCCCCAGTGAGCCCCAGTGCTCACAAACACAGAAACACACAATAGTCTGAACCGGGAAGGACCCACAAGGATCATCCAGCCCAACTCCTGGCCCTGCACAGACACCCCAACAACCCCACCATGTGCCTGAGAGCGTTGTCCAAGCGCTCCTGGAGCTCTGGCAGCCTTGGGGCCGTGACCACTGCCCTGGGGAGCCTGGGCAGTGCCCCACCACCCTCCGGGGGAAGAACCTTTTTCTAAAATCAACCTAAACCTTCCCTGACACGACTTCAGGCCGTTCCCCCCCGAGCAGAGAGCAGCGATCAGTCCCTGCCCCTCCGCTGCCCCGCGTGAGGATGTCGGAGACCACAGCCTCCTCTTCTCCAGGCTGAACAGGCAAAGTGCCCTCAAAGTGGCTCATTATAACAGCCCTTAAGTACAAGCAGCCTTTCCGAAAACAACAAAACCCTCGGCGAACACACAAACGAGCCGGGGTTGCCCCGTGCCCCGGGGGGCTGCGGGCGGGGCCGGCGCCGGGTCCTCCCGCCCGCCAGGGGGCGCTGCGGCGGCGGCGGCGCGGCCGGGCGGCGCGCGGCGGGCCGGCCATGGCGGCGCAGTTCCGCAGCTACGTGTGGGACCCCGCGCTGATCGTGGCGCAGATGGTGCTGCTGCAGGCGGGCTACTACAGCTCGCTCGGGCTCTGGCTCGCCCTCCTCGGCACCCTGGGCAGCACCGGGCCCTCCCTCCAGCAGGTCTTCAGCGACGAGGTGAGGGCGCGCCCCGGGAAGCCGCCGTGGGCACACAGGCCTCTGGAGCGGGGTGGGGATGTGCTGGGGGAACCAGACCCCGCTCCCGGTGTGGGTATTCCCGGTGTTAGGGAGAGCCCCCACCCACGGAGCACCGTGGTGTGGGGGCAGAGGTCCCCCAGTCCCGTGTAGCTGCCCCCCAGCACACAGACCCGCTGTCTGTGTGGGTGCCCCCAGAATAGAGCTGTCCCTTTGCATAGGGGGGGTCCCGGAGTAGAGGCAGCACCTCGATGTGCAGATGGTACCCTGGGTTAGAGACAGTACCCCCATATAGAGACAGACACCCTGTATAGGTTGGTACCCCTGTGTAGAAACACCACCTCGCTGTATAGGGGATACCCCCTTATAGAGACAAACACCCTGTATAGGAACCCCAGTGTAAAGGCAACTGCCCCTGCCCATATAGGTAACCCCAGTATGGACCCCCCCTCCCCGGTCTAAGAGGTTCCCCTCACCATAGAACTAGACCTTTCCCTTTCCCATAGGTTCCCCCAGACATTCAGACAGAGCTGCCCAGGCTCCTGGTGTAGTTCCTGATCCGTGTGGGGCCGTGCTGATGTGGCTGGGCCACGGGAGCAGATTTTGGGCTGCGATTTGTGCCGCGGGTTCCTACTAATAGTCCCATGTAGATTTTAGGCTTCTCAACCCCGCCGGGGAGGCTCTCCATGATGGCTTTCATCCTCAATGCACTCACCTGGTAAGTCTGCAGCCAGCTGGAGCACCTGCGTCTTGTCCTTCCTTAACGTTGAACCATAAGAGAATTCAGTGTGATGTCCTGCCTCTCTGAAAGCATCTCCCAAAATCCCTGTGCCTGGTCGAGCATGTCTGCTGAGGGCAGTTGGGAACTGCTGACTCCTGGCTTTCTAGAACCTGGAAAAGTCATTTAACTTCACTGCCTCAATTTCCCAGCTGGGAATGAGGTTTGCTTCTGTGAGGGATTTTACTGAAAGTTAGAATTAATGGATCTCAGCAAACACTGATCTGTAAAGATTTATGAATTTTGCCACTGCACAGAGATTACTGGGGGAGATAGTTTAAAAATTCCTGCCTGTTCTTTGCACTAAAATCTCTTTTCCCTGCCATCGTGTAATTAAAAAGCTGTAAGAACGTAAGTCTTGCTGCAGTGGCCGGGAGAGAGGCCAAAACCAACCTATTCTTAAAACATTTGAAGAAGTTTTAAAACTGCTAAATAACCAGCACTGCTGACAGCTCTTGCTGCACCCCCTTTTCCACGGGCCCAGCGCATCTCATTCACCTCCTGCCTTTACCTTTGCAGCGCCCTGGCCTTGCTGTACTTCATCCGCCGCGGGAAGCAGTGCCTGGATTTCACGGTCACGGTGCACTTCTTCCACCTCCTGGGCTGCTGGATCTACAACTCGCGCTTCCCGTCGACGCTGACGTGGTGGCTGGTGCACGTGGTGTGCACGGCGCTGATGGCGGCCATCGGGGAGTACCTGTGCATGCGGATAGAGCTGCGGGAGATCCCCCTCAACTCCGCCCCCAAGTCCAACGTATAGACTCGCCCTGGCGACAGACACGCTGCGTTAGCGCCGTTGTCTGCAGCACAAGTGCATCCGACATGCCTCAGAATCGTCCCTGAAGAAGCACAGCAGGTCTGTTGAGACTTTGTTATTAATTTTCTTTTTTTTCCCCCGGACCTCGGTGGCTGCATGAGTGTGAGCATCTCCTCTGGCATCAGCTGGCAGCGGGGGAGGAGTAGATGTTTATTTTGTTAACACGAAGCATTAATGTGACTGTATGGAGAGTGTGCCCTTAAACTCTTCGCTCAAGAGACTGTTAAAAGCCAGGTAGCAAAACTTGGTGCGTGAGGAGCATTTGGAATCTAACGATGTGGGAGTGCCCTGTGTGGGGAACACGATGGTCAGCTCTTCTTGCGGGAGCTGGCACGGTGAGCAGTGGGGCTGGGAGCTGCTGCTTCCAATCTGTGACTGATTTGGGCTTTGGATGGGAAAGGAGTCAAAGAAGTGAATGGATGGGGAAAAGGAAAATAGTTGTACTTACCTGAATCACCAGCTGAGTCACTAAATAACCTATAACGTTAGATGGGTTTGTTTGCTGTTTCCATGTTTGATACATAGAGGTGACAGACGGCAGTTTGCTGAGGAAACCTTTTGTAATAATAAAAACATTATGTTGCTGTGAGTGTGTTATGGCTCTCCTGGGAAGCTGAGCCCTTCAAGGAGTACCACGAGTGTCTGTATCATGGCAACAGAAGGATGCAGCCAGAGAACACCTGGCTGTGAGATGCCCGCTGTCTGGGGCACATAACATTTCCTACAATAAACATTGCATACCTCTGCTCTGAAAGGAAGGCATCAGTGAGTGCTGTCTTGGGAAGTCAGCTGGCATCATCCCACTTCGGGAGCAGTGTCAGCAGTCCAGGGTCTCTCCATGTTCAACCTGAGGCTGGAGGTGTCCTGGAGCCACCTGCTGCTCTTCCCACTTGTCTGGGTGTTCCTGCCCGGCTTCAGAATTCTAGCAACAGATCTGGTTTGGTAGAGGTGATGTTAAATAAGAGACTGCTGTTATTTCTCAAAATAACAGGATGTGCCTTTATTTAGAGACACTTCAAACAAACTTCACCAGGCAGTGACACCCCCTTACTGCTGAGGGGCCAGGGCTCAGTGGTTCCTCCAGATCCCACAGGCCAAGCAAGGAGACCTACATCCTGCCTGGATTCTGCTGAGGGATGATCGGTTTGTGCAATCCCAGACAAGGACCAAGCCAGGTCTAAAGACAGATTTTTCTCTTGTGCAGCATCTTGCTGCAGTAACTTCCCTTTGTACATTAATATTTGTAATGTTAACTTGCATAAGTTATTTGCTAATTCAACTTGTTGAAAAGTGATGGGATGATGTGGAGATACAGAAGTTGATAAACTCTTTAAAGCTGCTCTTTTGACTTTGTTCTTGGGGAATGAGCTGTATTTCAGTCCCTGCTCTCACACTCAGACACTGTAAATTGAGGCAGGATAACATCCTGTGCTTTACATACCCGGCAGGGCTGCCTCAGAGCAGGATTTCTGTCTAAACAAATGTAACCAGCACTTTTTATATTCTGGGATTTCACCAGGAGCCCTTCCTGACCAACCCCCCTGTAAGCAGAGTTTCAAACAGCAGCAGCCTTTCAAAGGGAAGAGTTTACACAAGTGTTTTTCTGGGCAGGAGCCAGCCTGGAGGGCCACCCTCAGGTCACTTCCTAGGGCTGCCCTTGCAGCAAGACAGTCCATCCCTTCTCAAAATCAGCTCAGTTCTCATATACAAGGATACTTGCCTTTCTCCCAGTCACCTCAGCCTGGATATAAACTGGTCTCCAGTAGGTGCCAGTATCTCCCTCAGAAAAGAGGAGCAGGAGTGTGCCTGTGGTTGGGATCAGGGCGGAGCAGAGGGCAGTTCTGCCTCGGGGTGACAAGCACTGACAGTGTTGTTAGTCATCTTTTAAGACTCCCTCAGGGTCATTTTGTCCTCTCCTGCTTTTTGTTGCTATTCTTGAGAAAGAACATCCCAGTCCTGCAGGGACAAGGAAAGTTTGCAGGTTTACCTCAAGGCTTAACACCACACCAAAGCATGGTGTGAACTCTGTGTTCTTTGGGGTTGTTCTTAGGGTAAGTGGGAGCTAAAGACTAATTACAGTGAACATGAGACCAAGGAAGGAAAGCCACATTCTTCCAGCTGATCCCTGGAGTTGCTGTGAGCCCATATTAACAGAGCTGCTCCCTTTGTTCCCCTGCAAGAACAGAGATGAAGACTTTGGACCAAGGAACACTTACCCTTTCTTTTTGAATGCATAAGATATGCTGTAACTGCTTCAGCAGCCTCCCTGGGGGGTGAAATGTGGTTACTTTGCATCTGGAGAGGCTCAGAGTCTCTCTGAACCAGGAGAAGAATCCTTGACAAATGTGGATTTCACATTGAGGCTGCAGGACACCCCAGGAGCTGCACTGCATCAGCAGGAATGTGCTGTAGGGTCAGAAATGCTTTCTGAAAGGCTGCTGACTGCCCAGGGGGACTGTATCTGGGTATTACTTTTTTTTAAAGGAATTCTACTAATTGTCCTAGTCATAGAGGAAGTTCTGCTAAAAATGATATATTGATTGAGGAAACTCATCACTCCCATACTGTGAGACCTAATTTTCTCTCACATGCTTTCAGTCAGATTTAGAAGCACCTTTGGCTTTAAAAAAAAATCTGCTGCTCCATACCAGAACAGTGACAGATGGTCTTTGTTTCTTAATGAATCTTTGGGTTTTTTTGTGTGCAATAGTTGAGGGATTTGCTTCCAGGGAAGATATGTCCCAACACCTGCTCTTCTCAAAGACAGTGGCAGTGTCAGCCAGCCATTGGCATCCGTGCTTTTGCAAAAAGAAGACTTGGAGATCTGAGAATTTTACCTTCCCTTTCCTCAAAGCTGTTTTAGAGTAGAAAGTTTTAACAGAGAGGAACTCCAAATTAAAAGAGAAGGTAAGAGTTGTGGGATATTGGGGGGGGCTGTGCTTATTTGTTTTCCTAAAGGCATTAAACAGCTGTTCTAAACAAAGAGCAAGTACAGGATTTGGATCCAAAACACTCCAGCCTTGGCTGTACATGATGCCCACCTGCTTCAGCTTTCCCCAGCTACAAGCCACAGGCAGGACAAGAGATAATAGGGCAGGGGGAACAGGATCAAACAACAAACACTGCTGTTGGAGTGGAAGAAGAATTAAAGAATGAAGCGTCTGAGTGGTTCACTCCAGGTTTTGCCGTGCTCTGGTTTCCCCTGTCTCCACTGCTCACCCTAAGGCTTTGTGCCCCAGATGCTCAGTACTGAGTACATAAGTAACAACTCTGTTTGCAGGAAGTCAAGTTGCACTGTCTGAACACCAGCTGCTCCTCCCTGACTTATTTCTTGGAATTTGCCTCAATGGATTTGTTCCCTCCTGCTGCTGCAGGAGCAGAGTATTGATGGTAGTGAAGGTAGGAGGAAGAACACGTGAGTGTCAAAGGAGAGCAGTACGACCCAGCACCACTGGGTCTACATCCTTTGCTGTAGAAGCTTACCCACCACCTGGAATCCATCCAGTGGGATCTGTGGGGCTGGCAAGCCCCTGCTCACATTGTAGAGTACATCCCCCACTAGTTACAGCTCCCATGGCCCCGTGCAGCCAGGAAGGCACAGAGCTCCAGCAGCATCCTTAAAACACAGACTGCCTTGGACTGCCCAAGAATATTGCTGTGTTTCTCTAACATATTCAGAAATCACTTGCAAACACCCCTCTGTTCCAAATACTTGCAGGCTTGTACTGAAGCTGCAAAACTAACAACATTCTGAGCCACAAAAGAAGAAATTGTGCTGTCAAGCAAAAGCCAGGACAAACAACTTCTACCATGCTGTAGGCTCTACAACACACTTTAATACTCTGGAATTACACACTTCTACCCACAGAGCTGCTTACAGGTACCTTGGGGAAAGCTTCAAAGCAGGAGTTGCTATAAATCTTTTTTGTCCTGCCTTGACACTCTCCCTCAATCAAAATATTTTTGCTCTGTGTCCTTAGAAAAGGGATTTACACATAACACAGGAGTTACTCAGGAATCCAGATGTGTGCAAGACAAGGCATGCAACTGTGATTATTCTTCAGCAGGGGTTTCACCATGTCCTTAAAGCAAAAGGGCCAATACAGGACAGAAGGTCTCCCTTATGCCTGTGACAGGACAGACACCACCCCCCTGCACCTCACAGAACAGTGGTAAAAATGCCCATCTTGTTCTCAGTGCCCAAATCAAAAACTTGGAGAGTTGATCTGGTGGAAAGAGTCAGCAAAGTAAACAGGTTTCCTTCCGGTAGCCATAGAAGAGTGGGAAGAGTCCAACATTTGCCATTTTTCCAGAATTTATCACTTTTCCCTAAATCCTCTGCCCCATACCTATAAGCTCCCAAATTCTCTGGACAGCCAGATCTGTCTCTGTGTCTTGAAGCAGAAGTGAACAGGCATTATTCCAAATTACAGACCAACAGGAACACCCAGGAGATTCTACCAAGCTCTCCCGTGTCCCACAGGCACAGGATGGAGCCAAGTGTCTCTGAGCTCCGCACAGGATATTCCTCAGGTTTGGAAAAAGGATCAGAAAGATGCCAGGGCACAAACTGCCACTGCTTTTGATGGGATACTCACAGAGCTGCAGTTTATAAGTTCACCCAAGTGACGATGAGGGGGATACTGAGGATGGAAACGTTGGGAACGTGGGTCCAGGCAGAGCTTTGGGCCATGCTGGGGCTGCAGAGGTCGAACAAGCTGCCTTGAAATCTGTTTTTTCGGGACTCCCTTCTCAGCATCTCCCAGACAGCTGCTGCTTCCTTCTGGCATTCCCAGAGTGCTGTCAGGGCACAGGTGTGGAATTCATCCCAGTACCTGCAGCCAGGGATACCACACTGTCAGTCCCTTTGCATTCCCACAGTGCTGGATGCCAGGCAGAGCCTCTCTGCCCCGATCCTGCCCTCTGAGCAGCGACAACCCCTGTGTTTTGTGCAAGTTGCCCAGACTATTCATCCCCTCCATCCTCTGCCAGAGTATCTTGGCTAAAACTCCAAACCTCAAAACACTGAAATTATTTAATCTTCCCCCCCCTCCCCCCGTCTTGGGAAGTCAATAAAATTCATTATTTTCCATCAACAAATGTTTCCCTTCAGCACCAAGCACCCTGAGTATCTCACACAGGCTGCAAACAAAGGCCCAGTGCATCTCATTCATTGCTTTCTCCAAGCTTTCTCCAAGAGGAGTCAAGGGCAAATGGGAGCACAGAGAAGGACAACAGCTCCCACAGAGCATTGCAGCATTAACTGAGGTATGGGCAGGGGCAGGAGGAGTTATTCACTGTGTTCTCATTAGAATCATCTCTGTTTATCTGCTGGGTATTGCCTGTGTGAGTAGATGTTCAGTGTACAGAGGCTTCTGGGAGGAAAAAAACAAGACAGGCAAAGATAACCCATAGTCCTGCAGGAGTAAACTGGTTGCTGCTCACTGAAGACCCCTTTGCCTGCTTCTCCTGTGGACAGCAACTTGGGTTTTATTTTCTCTTCAAGACTAGAACCAGGCAGGGAAAAGCCCCAGCAGAAACAGAGCTGAAAACCACAGCCCCCAAGAAAACTCTCATAGGAGGGACACAGTGACACCACCCCACCCATCCCAACACACAGGGGTCGGTGCCACACGGGGTGACCCCATGATGCATTCACCCAGAGCAGTATCCAGCCAGCCAAGGCTTTATGCCTTCCCTGAGCTCCTTCCTTACCTTTGGTGAAGCCCCATGGGGGCTCTGTAGCAGCTGGTTTTGAGCCCTTTCCAGAGAGCTCCCTGCCCACCGGTGCCAAGCTGAGCAGGGGGGGTGGGTTCCAGCTGTCTGGGACAAGGACAGCAGGGACCAGGCTGGGCCATGTTCCCCCTATATGGTGTGAGGGAGGACCAGAACAAGCACCCTCCTCGGTTTTTTTGGCTGCTGAGTATGGGACAACCAGACTCTGTACCAGACTCCCCAAAGGCTGCTCTTGGTGCTGCTTTGTGACAGGGAGGGCACCCACGGCCTGGCAGGTTCTGTGTCCTCCCGAGCACGTCTGTAAGTCCCAACCCAGCTGAATTCACAGTCGGGGTCTCTGTTTCGTAGGTATGCACTCAGGAAATAAAACAGCAGGAGCCCAAGTCTTAGCAAATGCCACGGGAACCTCTGGAAGTGGTTCCTCTCCAAAGTTAAAACTTCCTCATAGGACAGATAATGCTCTATGACACACTTGCCACTGACCTTCCCCCGTGACTTCTTTCAGAGAGAGTTTCTTATACTTGAAAAGTAAATCTTCAAAGGAGTGCATGCCCTGACACCCAACACTGGGACAAGGCAGGCACCAGCCACAGGCAGCACCCCCTGACTCCCAGGGGGCTTCCCAGGCTGTGCCAGCCCCCAGCCCAGAGCAAGCTGCACCCCCAGGCACCCCTGCCCTCCCCTGCACCTCAGCTCTGCTGTCCTGTCCACATGGGCTGGGGCTTGGCACCATCTCCAGCCCCCAGCAAGCTGGGACTGCCCAGAGGACAGGAGCAATTGCTCTGTCACCTTCCCTGTGTGTGCCAGGACACCAGGCACACGTGCCACCCCTGGGGAAGGGGCTGCAGCCCAGCTGGATGAGCGGGGACCCTGCACACTGGCAGGGGCCAGCTCAGTGTTGTGTGGGTGCCCTGTGCTGGAGATGACACCCTGTGCACACAGGCAAACACGAACACTCTGCTTGCTTAGCTGTCCTACGGGGGCTCACATCAGAACACCAGCTGTGGGAGAGTTCATTAAACCGAGTCACTGTGGCAGAATAAACGTTCCCAGATAGTGAGAAAACCTGGTGCCAACCCAGGCAAACTCTGGCACTCCTGAGCTGCAGCAGCAGAAGGCAGCTCTGTCAGGTGAGAGTTAAACCTGGCCCATGTCTTCAGGCAAAAGAAGGTTGGAGGAAGGTGAAGGGGGATGGCAGCTCCTGCCTGGATCTGCTTTCAGCAGGATGGCAATTCCCAGTGCTTCACCCTTCACAGCCCCCATCTGCTCAGGCAGACTGTTGGTAAGTGAGTTGCTGCTCTAGGGCAGCACCACACAGAGCTGAGACACCACCAGCTCCCACGGCAGCTCCTGGTTCCGTGTCCATTCCTCACCCACACTCCTGGAGAGGGGACCACAGCACCAGGAATGCAAACAGCAGTGGATAAGACTGAGGGTCAAAGGCAAATAATTCAGAAGTACCTGGCAGGGAGGAGGGATATCATCAGCTTGCTCCTCCAGGCACAGCAAGCCTGGCTAGCAGTGCATTAGGACCAGGAGAAGAAGCTGGCATGTCCCTGAAGGTGCAGAGCAAGGAAGATCCCAGGACCTGTTCTTCAGTGGTTTGTGCCCCAGAGCTGTCAGAAAACCTCAATTTGCACATTTCACAGGAGCTTCAGCAAAGGAATCGCTCCTCCAGCAGTCAACGGCAGCACGGGCTGGGCTGCCTGCTCAGGTGTGTTTTCATACCAAGAAGCCTCATTTAACAAAACAAAAAAGGTATCAATTGCTGTCCAAACCAGAGCAGGCCCCATTTCAACCCAGCCTTAGGCACGTCCCAGAGACACTGTTCATCCTGAGCCAGGCTGTCTCCTGGAGAAGGGGGAATACAGAGCAGGTCACAGCCCGCAGGGTGGTTTCCAGCAGCTTGGAAAACCTGACCCCAGGGCACTCAGTCCTCTGCCTGGCCCTGCCAGGTTTCCACTGCCCCCAGGCATGTGGGTTTTCCCTTCACTGCTGTCTGCATTTCCTTGTAACTCCTGTTCACTCCCCACAGCTCACTGCTGGGGACACAGGGCTGCCTCCATCTCTGCAAACACTTCCACCTTGCTGCTTCTTTCCCCAAACCTGCCCACCACCACCCCTCCTTACCCAGCTCTTCTTCAGTTCTGCTCAAGTTAACACCCTCCTGACACCGTCATCTCAGGGCATCGCTACAAACTCAGGAAAACCAGGGCTGGGCAAATCCAAGCCTGAAGGACAAAGGGTCAGGGCCGGGAGGGACAAGGCTGGCTTTGGCAGCAGGACCCACCAGGGGCTGGGTGCAGGTTGCTCCTGGCAGCACTGGGCCCTGGGGCAGAGCAGCCACCTGCACATCACTGCCTGAGACCCGGGGTCCAGGGGAGACTTTCCTGGGGAGCAGAGCAGGTCAGGTCCCACCAGCCCTGCTCCTCCCAGCTGCAGGAGTGCAGAGGCTGGCAGGACAAGTTCTAGGGGCTGGAGCTCCTTGACCAGTGAGACAAACTCCAGTGGGAGATAAGCAGGAGATGGACAGATGGACAGACAAAGGAAGGGAGCTCACCAGGTCTATCTGAAAGCAGAGTGAGGTGTGGAACACATAGGTATGTGCAGGCACGACAGGACCCGGGAGGGCTGGAGGAGAAGACTTCACACAAGGGCAATACCAAAAACCACGCTGGCCATGCACTGTACTCACCTGCAGACTCGGTGCAGCCCCTGCAGCTCGATGCCCTCCTCCTCCTCGTAGGTGGCCATGCTGTCCCCCAGCTTGAGGACGCAGTCCGAGAGGCCCCGGTAAGCATCGGCGCAGGCGGGTCCCGCTGCCAGCAGCCCGGCCAGGTGCCCTGCCAGCACCGGGGGGCCAAGTGAGCAGGGCACCTCTGGGGATGGAGCCCACCTCCGCCCCGGGGTGTCCCGGCCCCTTCCACGGCGGACGGCCCCGAGCCCCCGCCGGCCCCCGCCCGAGCCCGGCGCTGCCGGTGTTCGCCGAGAGCCCGGTGGGCACGGGGGGACCCCCGCCCAGTCTGCCCGGGATGAGCTCCCGGCCCGGGGCGGCGGGCAGGGACCGGCGGGGGACACGGCCAGGGAGAGCCGCAAGGACCCGACCCGGGACGGAGGGAGAGAAGGAGGGAGGGAGGGAGGGAAGAAGAGAAGGAGGGAGAGAAGGAAGGGACCCCTCATGGCATCGACCCCCTCCCGGACAGCCCAGACACCCCCTCACCCAGGGCGAGGAGCAGCACGGCCGGACCCCTCCGCTGCCCCATCCTACCGCCGGCTCCGCCCGGGCTCGGGCTCCAGCCCCGCTGCCGGTGCCGCTGCCCGCACCCCCGGGGCCGGCAGCGCTCCCCTCTCTCCCGCCTCCGCGGGGACGGCACCCGACCCCGGTCGCTGCTAATAAGCGGCTTCGGCCGCGGCTAATTAAGGAGGAGGCTGGGCCGAGGCTAACGAGCGCTCGGGGGCACCCCAAGGGATCCCGTACCCCTGCCCCTCCCAGCATCGCATCCCCCGGCACTCTCTGCAGCACCCACGGCTCCCACACCCTGCACCCCCTCCAGGACCCTGCACCCATGGGGCCCATGGCACCCCGGCACCCTCACACCAAAGCCCCCTGGCCCCTCCCCATCACAGCCTGCGCTGCCCACCCCACGTGTCCCCCCGAGTGGGGGACATGGGCCCGTGCCCGCTGCCAGCAGCAGGAATCCAGGCAGGGCAAGGATCCCTCGCTGGGCTTTGGGCTCTGGACTGGCACAGGTTAAGTCAATGCAGGGTGGGAAGCAAAGCCCGGAGAGCTTGGAGGTTCAAAGCCTTAAACATCAGCACCTACAGCTCCAAAACCTTCTGTCCAGATCCTGCCTCCAGCCATTCCCAAGGCTGTCATGGCCTTCAGGGCATCCACTGGGATTTTGCATCCCCACAGCCTGATCCCAGCCCTCACCCCAGGAGTCCCCTTTGCTCCCACAGGAAGGGAAGCAGGAGGTTTCCTGCCTGCTTTGGGGGCTTCGCTGCAAGGGCTGGTCACCCACCCTGGAGCTGCTCCATGGGGTGCCTGGGCCAGGCCGAGGGGCCATCCCCCATCTCAGCTCGGAGATCCCTGTGCTCCAACAAGCACAGGCTCCAAAGCAAACCCTGGGAATGGGGACACAGCATCCGTGTCACTCTGGCAAAAATTTATTTACAGACAAGCACCACGTGCCCCATCTCCATCGGTCTTGGAAAACAAGCAAGTGGCAGAGTTATTTCAGTCAGGCTATTGATGCACATTCCATGTACCACCAGCCTGGGATATGCAGGGGAGTGTCTGACCCAGAGGTGCCACTGCATCCCCACACGCAGGGTATGTGGCAGTCCCCAACACAAGCCACCATCCTCTGCACTACCATAGCCCCTGTTACCCAAAGCAACTCCAGAGCCCTGCAAATGTTCCTGCAGAGCAGAACTGGCCAGCCCTGAGTGGCTCTTGGATTCCTGAGGGCTGGATCAGTACCTGACTTCTTCAACAAAGGGGGTCAATGGCTGGGAAGGGCTGGAACAGGTGAACCCCAGCTCTGCCATTGACATGCTGCAAGGCCTTTGTCACCTCTGTTGATGCAGGAGGATTAAAAAAAGCTGCCTGGCCCAGTGAAGTTGGTGCATTTACTGGGGGCAAACACATCACCGCTGAACATGGCTTGCAGCACGGCTGGGAAGGAGCCAGCCTGCCCAAACTATGGGGCAAGAAGGCAAGAGTGCAGGGCAAGGGGGCTTTCCTCAGCCCAGCCTGATGCAGGACTTCCCCTCACTCTGTTCAGGTGTCTGCCCAAGTGCTCCAGGAATGCCCCTTCTTCACCCAGAGCTGGGGCTGGATGTTCTGCTGCCTGCACACCCCCTCCCAGCTCTAGCAGCTCCCGTGCCAGCAGCAACCATGGGTTGGGGCCCCAGGATGTGGGGACACGACATCCCAGGGCTTCGCAGGAGTCTCCCCCAGGCTCCAGACCGTTAGCACTGGGACTGGGATCCTTCCCCTGGGACAGGGCATGGCCAAGGAGCCGGCTGGCTCCTGGCACAGGGCAGTGCTGTGAACGCCATCCAGGCTCCCCCCACTGCTCCTCACCCGCGGAGATGCTCCGTTTCTCAGCAGCCACATTCCTTCGAGGGTGTTTATGGCTCTTCTGTCTCCCCACCATCTCAGGCTGAAATCGCCCCTTTTAAGGGAGCCACAGGGCCACGAGTCGCTGGAGCCTTGCCTGCTGCAGGCTGCTTCCCTGAGATGTATCGCCTTGTTTACTGGGAAAGCAGCCTTGCCTTGCCTTGCCCCTTGTTTTTCTCTTGACTCCACAATTTCCTGGTGGAGTCAAGCTGCAGCTCACTCCCAGCCCCGTCCACGCACGCCTCCTAGAGAATAAGATCTATTTTCACCAGCAAATGATTCACCTGCGCCTGGAACTGGTTTGCCTTTCCCTGAGTAGCCAATTTCTCCCCAGCTCCATCCTCACCCCACAACTCCTGACTCACCTCCCAAACCTCTAAGAGACGGGAAAAACCTGAGTGGGAAGGTCAGGAGGAACATGTCACCTTACATTTTCTCCTGATGACAGGTGCACTTCGATGCTGGTCCCCTGGGGATATGGGCAGGAGCTGGGCTCTGTGTCGTGGAGACAATAGGTGTCATTCCAACCCAGGCTGGTGACCCGGGGACCTGAACACTTGCAGTTAGGGTGAGGGTTGTTGACACAAGACAGTGCTGTGAGCCTGCACTGGAGGCACAAGGGAGGCAGGGATGCTGTAGCAGCTGAGACAGACCCTGCAGGTACCTGGCAAGGCTTACTCTTAGCGCTCCCTACCAGAAGTGGAGACTCTCCACTGACTCCACCATCACCTCTGTCCCCTCTCACCTTTTGGCCGGGGGCAGGCACGCTTTGCTATGAGAGAAAAAAAATCATTACGTGGAGCTGGCTTGCCTGCAATGGTTTAATTGCAATAAAACGTGTGCCCCGCTGAGCAGCACGGCTTGTGCTGGAGAGCCAGGATGAGTCAGGCTCCGTGCAGATGATATCACTGCTTTTCCAACACCCTCCCAGCAAGGCAGGACGGAGGGGCCACAGCAGTGAGGGGCCTGGGAACGTGTCACTCTGCATGGGCAGCACCCTCATGTGCTGTCCCCACAGCGGGGATTCGGGATGTAGTGAGCCCGAGGGAACTCGGGGTGCTCCGGAAACTCGTGTGTGCACAAACAGCCCCCACGCCTCGCAGCAGTAACCGGTGCCAATCGACACAGACATGTCACATAGCAGAGACCTGAGCTAATCCTGCGGCCCTGCCTGCTCGCCTCCCTGTTGGCAAGGCAGGGCAGGGCAGGGGGGCAGCAGGGACGGTGGGGAAGCCGGAGGCCACAGGGAACTGTGAGCAAGCCAGCGCTGGCAGGTACCCAGCAGAGATTTGCTGCTGCAGCTCCTCAGAGACCATAAATCCCCACTCTTGCTACACCAGCCTGGTCCCCGCCAGCCACAGTGCTGGCATCCCACACTGTGGTGGAAACCATCAGGCAGATCTGAGGGTGCTTATAGATAGGGATCAACATTTAGGTGGACAAAACCACCTGCTGAAGGCAGCAGCTACGGGTAAGCGCACAGGGTGCAGGCTCCGGGTCCCCAGCACAAAGCCGGTTTTTGGCAGCAGAAGGTCCCGGGGGTGTAGAGGGGGACAGCAAAGCAACAGTAGCCAAAATAGAGCTGGGACACAAACAATACCGAGTTATCTTTTGTTATGCAGACAGTTAGAGGAACACACTCAGAACGGGACAGGCGGGACACGCCACAGACACTGGAAACTCCCTTCCAGCCAGAGTAAAAGGGCACAGTGGATGCCCCCCCCCTCCCGGCTTGGCAGTGACCAGGCAGTGGGCAGAGCTGGCACTGGGCACTGCGAGGCACTGACTCACCCTGCTGAGACACAGGAAGGAGGCGGGCGGCCAAGTCCGCTCCTCTGCCAAGGAGCAGCCCTGATGTGCAGGGCTGAACGTGGGAGAAAACACCCCAGAGTGGGGTCTGCTGGGGATGAGGGTCTCACAAGGCCAGGAGTGAGCTGGGGAGGGAGCCCCTTACCCATCCGTGCAGTGTGCTGTCCTCTCCCGTGTGAACGCGTGAGTTAGGCGTTCAGAGAAGAAAAGTAAAGAAAAGCAAAGGAAAAACAAGCATGAATGGTAACTGTGCTCCCTGCCCAGGCAGAGCCCCTGCCTCCCCCCGCCTTCTCCCCACCAACCTCCTGCCACGCGTGGCACAGCCCCTGCCAGACCCGCAGCCCGACACTGCGGGTACCGAGCTCTGCCCGAGGCGGCTGTGGAGGGGTGACCCCGCTGCAGCGACCCTCCCTGGGGGCCAGGGACCCTGCCGGGGTCTCTCCGTGCGCCCCGGCGAACGTGGAGACCCTCCGTGAGGAGCGGGTACCGCGCACGGGGGCCCCTGCTCTCCGCGGGGGCCAGGGGCCTCGCACGGGGCGCCTGTGATCGTAGATGGGGACCGGAGACCCCATCCCCGCCGCAGGACTGCCGGGGGGCTCCGGCAGCGGCGGGGCAGCGGCCGGGAGGAGCGGAGCGGGTGCCGCGGTGATGGGCGCGCCGGGCCCGCCCCGCAGCGCCGAGCGCCGCCCCGCAGCGCCGCTGGGGCGGGGGGGCCCGGCCGAGCCCCGCGCCCAGCCCCGTCCCCGGCACGGCCCGGGCGCAGCAGCCGCATGTCGGGGCCCGGCGCGCAGAGCCGCAGCCGGCGGCTGCCCGGTAAGTGCCGGCCGCGGGGTGGGCTCGGCGGGGTGGGAGCGGGGCTCCGAACCGGGCGGGCAGGGCTCGGGTGCCACATCCCCTCCACCTCCCCGCAGCTCCCACCTGAGGCTCCGCAAAGCCGCTGTGACCCCCCTGCCGTCCCCGCAGCCTCCGGCCCGGCCACCCCGAGCTCCGCTGAACCAACCTGCTGCCCGGGCGGCTCGAACCGGGGGCTGCTGCCCGGGGAGCGCCGTGCCCGGGACGGGGATGCTCGGGGAACGGGGGGATTTGGGAGACACCTTCCTTGGGAAGGGGCTGAGATCGGGGACCTGTTGCGGAGTGGCATCGGCACCCCTCGGAGAGGGGGGGGCTCCCGGCTGGAGCGGGTCCCCCCGCACCCGCGGGGCTGAGGGTATGAGGATGCTGAGCAGAGCAAAGCCATCAGCGAGCGGCGGGGCGAGCGGCAGTCGGGGGACCGGGGCTTGCTGGGGGCCAGCCAGCCAGGGACGGTGCCCGGGTCATGCCCGCCGTGCCTCGGGCACCGCGCTGCCCGCCTGGCTGCCCCGTCCTCACGCTTCTCTCGCATGAAAGGAAGCAGCGCCCCGCAAATAGCAGGGTCTTATGACACAGCCTCTGCCGGGGAAGGAGCTCCGGGCGGCAGGGAGGGATATTTTTAGTGCAGAGACGCAGGGGATTTGGAGATCGCTCGGAGGAGTGCAGGCAATGAAACCGCGGCACACACAGGGGTTACGAGGTGCCATGTCCTCCCTCTCCAGCTCTCCCCCTTCCCACTTTTCCCGGCAAGCAGCTCTGCCAAAACCACTGCCTCCCTCGCACTCGCCTGGTGCATTTCCTCTCACCAGGGCTACGGTTATTTTTTGCTGTGCTGCAACACGAGGTCAGACGTGCCGATGGAGAACCGTGCAGGGAATTAACGCTCAGGCAACCGGAGCGTCCAGAATCCCGTCTCTGCACGGCCTGGCCCCGAGTGATTCTCTGGGGCATTCCCAGCTCTCCACACCATCCACTTCTTCCAAGACTGAAGGAGCTGAAAGCCCTTGGGAATTACCCTTGTCCCACGGGGGTTGTGCTGGGGCAGGGTGACAGGGAAATGCCATCTCTGCAGAGCCTCCCAGAGGATGCTGTTGCAGCTGAGGAGCTGCATCGTCCCCCAGCCATCTCCTCACAGTCCTGCATGTAGGGATCAGGAGGGCAAGGTGCACTCTGACAAGTTGGGCAGCAGTGGGACATTCTAGGCTTCTCTGGAGGAGCAGAGTCAAAGGTTTGGGCTCCAGGAAAGCTCAGGGAGAAGAGCAAAAGCCAGCCTACTCTAGCTCTTTCATTCACCAGGGAACTGGCCCATGCTTGGAGCAACCCGCTACTTAAACTCTGCTCACCTCCCCAGCACCCTGCTGTCCCTTTCACAGCCCAGATTATTTTTAAATCCTTTGAAATCTCTGTGAGGTATTGCAGAGCTGTGGCCTCAGGAAAAGGCCATCCCCATCCTCTCTTGGCCTTGTGCCTCCACTGACAAGCTTTCTCCCACCCCAAATACACCCCTCCTATCTACCAGCACAGAGAGGGGGGGGATCCCATGGGCCAAGGAGGAATGAAAAGTGCATCCACTCCCAGTGGAAACACAGCCAGATGATTGAAACGTGCTCCACTCCCAGCCCGGATGCAGGGTCAGAAGCACCCTGAGCTGGTGCTCCCTGCACCCTCCAGCCCTACCTGACCCTTGCCCCGTGCTAACTGCACCTTGGAGTTGCTCCTCTCCCAGCCCACTCGGGCGAGGGTGTGGATGGGACAGCTTGCAGAGTTTTGCTTCTCAGCCAGCCCTCCCACACCTTCCCCCACCACAGCGTAGCCACGAGCCCACACTGCGTGAGGGGTGGCCCTGGCAGGGCAGAGGGGCCAGCGGGACCATCGTCCTCGGAGCAGGTGAGAAGGAAATCCCTGCCTGCACTTCCTGGTGGGGATCCTGCCCTGCCCTACCCACCCAAACTCTGCAGCAGTGTTTGGCCCCGGTTCCTCTCCAAGCTACACTGGCTAACAAGCCGTGAGAGCCGGAAGGCTCTGAAGGCAGCGGGGTCTCGGTGCCCGCGCTGGGCGGTTCAGCCAGCGGGGCAGAGCCTGGCTCTGAATGCTGATCAGCCTCCAGCCCCCCGGCCGAGCGGGCTGTGGTAATAACCATGACAATAGCAATAAAAGCCAGGCCACCGGCAGGTACCGACAGATCCCCCACGGTGCACAGGGGCCGCATTGTGTGTGCGAACGTGTCCCGCGGTGGGAACATGCCAGCCGGATGAGACAATCCCCACGGCTGGTGACCGGCCGTCACATGGGCAAGGGCCGCGGCAGGGAATGCCGTGCTCCTTTATTTCCCCGGCAAGGGTTGCTGAGAGGCAGCGACACTGGCAGGGCTGTTCGCTCCCCCGGGGCCCGGAAGAGCCCCGGGAGGGGGGGAAGGCTCCGTCCCCGGCTCTTACCGCGGTCACGGGTCAGGCAGGGCCAAGCACAGCCCCAGCTGCTGCCTCCCGCTGCCGGCCTTCCTTACATAATGGGATCTCAGTGCTCGTGCCCAACTCCCCGGCGACAGCTCAAAAACAAGTTCATAAACAGGTCCTGCTAATTTCTCCCTCTAGAGAAACCCTGGCGCCCACAGGAATGCTGCCTCCAGCTGCCTGTCCTCCCTCTCCCCAAGCACCTTTACGAGTATCGGTCACGTGCTGGGGAGACACGGGCAGTGAGAACATTAATAGCACACACTTGTGACACCTGGGACAGCACCTGAGAGCATTTGGGTTTATTTTGTCTTTGCACTGCAGGAGGATTTAGAGACTTTTCCTTACCTCACACTGCGTCCCTTTGGCAAGGTGTTCCACAAAGAGTTGGTCTGTCACCCTGGATCCAGGAGCCAGCACAGCCTGTGCCCTGAGCCCAGCCTCCCTAGGGCTCTCCTCAGTGTGGTGAACTGCGGAAGTTTGCCATGGATTCAGCACAGCTGAGCTTGGGGACACAGCTCTGCCTGGGACAGTCAGCACAGGGCTGATTCCAGCTGCTGAAGGGAGTCAGCTTTGTAATCGGTGCCTTGATCAGCCCCTCTTGTCCCCCACTCTGCAGATGGCACAGGGTGGCCAGAGGTGTTTGCTGTACCCCAGTGGCACTGGGCTGCTGCTGACAGTGAGGCAGCTTTCCCGGCAGGAAAGCTTCCCTGGCACCACGGCTCT